TGCGATCAGCCAGACACCTGACAATCAGTTGGGAGACTCAAGGCTGTACCCGGGCAGATCCCCCTTGGAGAAGGGCAAGCAGGCAGAAGTCACACCGAAGCGCAGCCCTATGAAGATAGCTGCAGCAGCCGCCAAAAGAGTGGTGATTCAAAAGAAAGCAGGAAACGAAGATGGAGTGAAAAAGAACCTCTTGGGTGACTTTGAAGAGCTTGCTAAGAAGAGTAAGACCAACGAGAAGAAGCAGCGGGAACCAAAGAGCTTGAATCTCGAAGCTCTTGACACTAAGCCACATTAGCCGCATCAAACACACTGGGGTGTTTCAATTGCATACCGCATACCGGTCAACCAAGCTACATAAGTAATATACACATGTGTACAAATCATGCATGAGCACATGTGCACATCTACTAGCGATGAATTTGTGGCACTTCTTTAATAAACTATGCAATGTGCATCACTTAGGAAAGTACAATTCGGCAGTTGAAGCACTTGGCCAACGAATCGACTTGGTTCACCATCCCGACTGACGTTGAAGCCGCCATGAGCCACTTCGAGCAGACCAGGGAATGGAACTATTCCCAGAAGTGTGGATCCCAGTAAAACATCAAAAATGGTACGGACTATCCTGAGATAGGTACGGAAAAATTATCATTCGATCCATGAAAATATGAAGTCATAAGACTGGAAACCATCGACCACACATGTCCCCGCTACCGCCGAGGTCCTTCACGCTGAATCGACCAAAGGATAAGGGCCCAGCACCTTGCAAAGAGGTGGGCAGCATCGGAGTTGGGCGCAGCCCTCAACCTCCTTTGATTTTTTAGTGATGTGGTGTATGTAAAAATTGTCTGGGGAACCAATTAAGGTTGGACACCCATGGATTCTTTGCTTCAAAAGTTCCACAAGACCGCATCAAGAAGGTGAACCAGGTGAAGAATTTGGAACCTCCACTCAATGCACCTAGCCCATAATTCGAGATGTTGGTTTGCAGTTTGCACTCAAGTTTCCTATCCTATAAATCCCGTTTCCTTGCCTACAACTAAGGCCAATGTACGGAGGGGTGTCAGCATTGCTTGGACAAGGTATGGCATCTTCGTTGGGTCATACTCTTAATTACTGCATAGATGTTGAACCAAAACAAAATCACATCCATATTCCCTAGTTTCATGGTTGTGATACGGCTGAGGTGGAACCTGGCTTTGGTCTTGGCGGGATGGACCCCACTGGATGATGATTTAGATTCAGACGAGGATTTGAACTCGTCTTGATTCTTAGCAATTTCCATTGTTTAGGTGGCTGGCATAGCGGGGCTTGGTTGACTGGTTGCAACAACTTTCATAGAGCTTAGTTGGCTTTCCTCCTATGATCTCATGAAGCGGTGATGTTTTGCCTGTTTGGAATATTTTGGACTGGCCCCTAGCTGGCGCGTTGATTGTGTGGCTTCACACAATGCACTCACTTGGTCCGTGGGGTGGACAATGTGTGAAAATCTGAGTTCAATTAATATTGCTTATGAACCATGAACACTCTTTGATATGCAAGTTGACTACCAAAGATTTGCTGATTCGACCTCAAGCTTTTCTGTGCAGCATTCTGGTATCAAGGCTTTGTATATGATACAGGTTGTGGCGATGCGTTCGAAGCCCTTGACCCGCGTGAGCCCATTGGCCTTGTCGGCCAAAGCTTCTCAATTGCTTTTGCTCCTTGGAGCACCGGTGCTATTGTTTCCTGGCTATGCACACTCAGCCTGGGCACAAACCCGTATGCAATCATGTGATTGATGTTTTCCAATGGCGTGGGTGCGTTGGGATCTGAACTGAACTGAGTCTCCATTGCATCGACTATGTGGTGGAAAACACACCCACCTACAAGTCTACGAGGGTCCCCAACTCAGGCCTCACTTTTTTCTCCTACATAGTCAGCAACCCCTGTCACCTCTAGTTGAAGGTTTGCCAAAGCTCAGGACCTCGACAACGCAGATCTGTTCTCGGGTGAAGGAGCGATCAATTTGGCATTCCGTGGGTGCCTGTGTCTTTAGAGCTCTTGGTTCAGGGAGTGGCATGCATGAAGCTTTACTCTTGTACGCACGTTTTCCGACTAAGTTGAGAAGAAGCTGAAATCGAGTCGCCCTTAGCAATTACTGAAAGAACAAACAACGATGTCAAATCAGCTGGGGATCGATCTACATCTAAGCACTGACAACATACCCTGAAACTTGCCGAGGAAGCCGTTTGACGTGGAAACATCTGGTGACAGCGGGGACATCTTGACTCCGCTGGGCTCTTTACACTTTGTGAAGCTTATGTGTGCGTGCACAAGTTTGTTACAATGAAACAATACCACAGGTTTTGATTCAACAGGGACTGTGACAAGTGTCTGTGCTGGGTTGCCAAGGACTGGATTCTTAAAGAGTATCCAGGTCATACTCAAACTCAAAGAGGGAGGCCTTGCAACTGCAGGGCCTCCCTGCGGCAGCTTTGTCTTTTTGAATATGGCTACATCAAAACGGACAAGGTCAAAACCTTTAGGAGGCCGTTGGGAGTACGTCAAACGCGCTAACCAGATCCTTGTCTTCAAAGTCCCCCAAGTCCTCCAAAATGTTTTTGGATGGGATGACCTTCTGAAATCTTGGGTGGCTTGGGACTCACAGGTTCTAATATGTCCGTCCAGTATCCCTCAAAGATCCGCAAAGTGTGTCACTGTAACATGTTCAAGCCAGTTGCAACTTTTGTTCATCCAAAGGGTGCGACCATGGATCACACCAAGCCATGATGGTGGCCAATGAAAAACTGGTTTGGGTTTGCAGTTCACTATCCCTTCTCCCGCCGGCACCGTCATCGCCAAGGATCACATGCCGACTTTGCTTGCTGCTGCTCCTTACCTTTGTGAGGTGTGGAGTTTTTCTCATCGAACAACCGTCATCAACCTTGATGGTCTACTTCCCCTACCTGGTCTGGCTCCAAAAAGTTGTTGAACTTTTCTGGCCCTGGTTGTCCACCAGGTTGTGGGCTACTCAGTTTTTGTGTTGGGGTACGGAGTCCAAATCCTAAACCCCCCTAGTGGGTGACTGAACTGAGTCACATGGGCAGCTACGGCCACCAGAACCTAAAGCCCACCCTGGTCTTTGGAAGTGCGCTTGGGCCCTGGATTGCAGTGTGTCATGCACTGACCTTGTTTGTTGCTGTTGGGTAATCCATTGTTTGTGGTAGCTACTGTTGTTTGCACTAAGTACTTGGTCATACCGGCTCCGGGTGAAGCTGACAAAGTCGGTGAGAAAGCGGATCAACAAGAACAAAGAGAAGAACGCTACTGTGCGCAAATACATCGATGGGAAAGGACAGAAGAGAGTGTGCCCAGCTTACACGATTTTGACCCAACAAACATTCATGATCTGGCCATGTGACAATGACTGTTTTATGCCTGGATCGTTTTTTCTCTTGATTGATTGGGTTTCTTCTTTAGGGCTGGGAATCCTCTTCGACTTCGTGCTTCACAAGTTTACCCAAAGGGCTATGGTAAAGCGATTTGCTCTCTCCATACTTCTTGGATGGTGCCCAGGCTCCAAAAGCAGTAGAGTTGAAACAATAAATTAACAACAGTGTGCAAAGCAAAAAATTAATATATTTTCCTGGTCACCTCAATACTTCCTAAGGCGGACAAGAGCAACCGGGAGAACATCCGCACCGCCCTTTACCCCAAGACCGGTGGCTTGATGGAGAAACTGCTAGAGAATGTGCCAAAGGTGGGATTGCGTTCCTCAGTCTCAACAAAATGCGACATGTCAGCAAACTTTATGTGATCCACTTTAGATGGTGGTGTGGAGGTGGTCTTGGGTCATGGGAGGTACCATATCGATGGCGACATGCGTGCCTATCAGAAATGCAAAGCTTTTTACAAAGCGAGCGGGACGCTGGAAGGTTCCACCCGTTGATTTCTCATGGTTTGGATGACAATTGAAACCAATTGCTGGAGCATCCACTAATTCATGTGGTACTCGCTGGCTTGTGATGGTATGAAGATGTTTGATTCATACTTGGAATCAGTAAATGGTGGTCGCACACCTGCCAGGGAGTTGAAAATCATTAGCTCTGGAAACGGACCTGGACGACTCGTTTCAAACTCAAAAGTGACCGTGAAAAGAGCGTGAACTACCGTGAACAGATCGTGAAAGACAGTTTTTAGGCGTGAAAGACAGTTTTTAGGCGTGAAAGGAAAAACTCTAAAAACTCATGCTTTTTAATGTTTTTTTAGTCAACATGGGAACACATTGAACAAACATGGAAACACATGTCTTCCACCTGTAGCCGGTGATTGCTCTTTGAGGAAAGATGTCAGGTGTGTCTGATATCTTAGCCAGGGCTGCCCAACGGCTAGACCGGGCTGCTGCAGTGAAGAACACGCTGAATGGGAAGGAAGGTTCAGCAAAGTCTGATGGGAGGACTGGGTTTGGGGTACCAATTCTCAGTTTGCACTTTTGGGGGGACAATTACAATGGGCCCCTGCTGTCGTGGCTGCCACATACTGATAGACTCTGGTTTGACAGGTGTATATGCCATAGACTTTGATTTGACAGGAGTGGTGGTCAAGTGAAAAGGACACAGAGCCAGGCAGAAGCGGCAGAAGGCTGGCTAACCCGCCCGGACTGCATACCAAGTCACCATCGATCCACAGCTATAGACCGATATGTAGAGGATGTAGATGATGTACGGCACACTTCCTGCACAAGTGGTTGCATTGACTGTTCCAAGATTTGGATTTTTTCAACATTTGCTAAAGGGATCAATGGCAAGGATCTTAGAGGCCACAAGAAGGTTTTGCACATCTTGGCATGATTTCATAAGAACATATCGATGCGAAAAATTAACCTAAACTCAAAAACACATTTAGTGTCATCAACTAGAATTCAACAAGGAATGAAAACAAGTCTGTGCGCATGCTTCCCTGCTGCGCCAGAATCGGAAGCTTCCACCATACCCGGAACCACAGAAGAAGCGAGGAGGATGGCGAGAGAAAAGACTCGTCAAGCTAAGGCCGAATCCACCCCACCCACCAAGATCAAGAAGAGTGAGAGTGCTTTGGAAAACCCGTCAGGCCCGAAGCTGAGCAAAGCAGTGCAGAGCAAAGCGATACTAGAGCCTGTTGAGACAAAGGCTGAGAGGCGCCGGCAGTCCCAGGCGACTGCTGTGAAGGCCAAAGCAGCACCAAGAGTTGAGGAGGACAAGAGAGCGGATGCAGTTCGGGAATGCTTGAGGAGACCATCAACAGGGGACTTCGCATCTCCTGTCACAAATCCTGCAAGCGCAGCAAAGCCTGGGAAGGTGCCGGAAGAGAAGCAGAGCACCCCTCCTGCCAAGGAAGACACCAAGGAGAAAGAAAAGAAGAAGAAAGACACCAAGGAGAAAGAGAAGAGCACCCCTCCTGCCCAGGAGAAAGGCACCAAGGAGAAAGAG